TTATGGGACATTTTTGTGGTGTGTGTTTTATGGTGCGAATTACTAACGTTTGCTTGAAAACAAAATAATATACGTGAGAAGCTGTAATGTATAGGTCCATTGGCTGCCGAGCAAACCGATTTGAATCTTTAAGGGTGACAAGGCAGGTACCTATAAAGTCATTCGTGTCATCGATGATATACCCAACTACCCGTACCTAGAAGAGAATATTGACCACTGCCTCGAACTTCGTTAATTATTTAAAAATAAAAGAAATTGTAAGTTAAATTTGTTTATCATACATAAAAGTATGTTGCGTTGTCAGTGGCTATGTAAAAGTGTTCCAGAATTCGTGCACTCTGCTAGTAACCCTAAAGGTCGTGCTTATTTCATTGCTATCATCGAAGATGTGTCCGACTACTTGTTATATACTCTACCCATGCCAAAGCCAGTGATCTACTAGATGATCTTTACTCTCGCCACTATCTACCACTGAATGGGCGGAAGAACAGAGCCATCACCGCCAACTCACGTAGACGAGTTCGACCATTATGGCTTCTAACGCATTTGAAGCGCTCGTCAGATGTCCCGACAGGTTCTGTTCTTACTTCTAGATATTGTTTAATTTATAATTTAATGCTGTTGCCTCTTCTTCTTCTTCTTCTTTTAAATGTTATGGCTCCATGGAAATAATCAATGATTTTGCTAATGCCAAGTAAAAATAACTATGTACGGTAGTTTAATATTATTACAAAAATTATACAAAAAATGGCGATTTCGCCAATGTCCTGTGAGAATCAAGGCTGTTGCTATTTATTAACATTTTTACTTAATTTTATTTGACATTGCTTATTTGACAAATTATATAATTTTAATTTATGACATTATTTAACTTCAATTTAATTTTAATATTTGCGTGCCAGTATCTGGTGCAACACGTGTTCTCGACACCTTGTATAATATCTTTTGTTGCCGTGTTTGCGAAAAAATATTTCATTTCAGACAGCATTCAATATCATCCTTTGGACCTTTAGCCGTGCCTATTATATATTAGGCACGGCTAAAGGTAGCTACCCTTGAGTCACGTGTCGCGACGACAAATAAAGCCGAATATTATGACAATCATAGGAAGTGAAACATGGTCACGGTTGACCTGGGACCTAAAAAAAGGCCCGAAACGTTGGAGTTGTTTGAAAAAACAAATATATGCGGTTTAAATCCAAAACAATAGTTTTATTTCCTATGTGTAACAATCGCGAAAACCTAAGAACTTGATTATAATAATCAGTCACAGAAAATTGGGCATACAATAGGCGCGGGAGCGAGCTCTATATACCTCTACATGGAGTGCGTGGGTTCCGCCGCCAAGCTTCCAAGAACCGCAAAAAAACTCCAAAATACTAACTTCAACCATTCATTAACTTCAAGTGTTACAGCGCTGTGTATTTTGTGAAGGCAGCTCTGGAGTGCGTTGATGCATCCGGTAACCGGTGGTAGCTGCTTCTGCTCCAGTATAAGTTTAGATCTCAAAAGCCTCTCGACGTGAGCCACGATGAAAATGTATATTTTTGTACTTAATACAGTATATTTTCTTTTTATTAAATAAAAAACAAATAAGTGCTTCTTATTATACACTGCATAAATAAGTTGCTAAATACATAGTTGGCATAACCCTGATGTCTCAGTAAGCAGATAATTGGTACAGCAGTAGACTTCGGTCACCACTTAACTATTAACTAGCACCAACCAATTACTGCTCTTAGCATAAACACCATTCACTCGCGCGTGAAACAATTTAACGTCTGTTCTCGTTGCTTTTTGTACAATACCTTCATAGCGACTGTTATATGAGAATTTGACTTAGACAAATTATAATATATGTCCTTTAAAAGAACTGGTTTGAGATATGCAATTACTGCAACTTCCCACATAACCTGGCATTCCTGCGAAGTAAACGGCTATCGCGAGCGAGGCCTTTGGCCAATGGAATGTCTTTGTCTTGCGGGTCTGTACTAACTTCAGCTAGGATCAAAAGTAACTCTACCCTGATTTTTATTATAATTTTCTCATTGAACTTTTTGGACTTTCATATTATTTCTAGTATTGAACAGGTGAACAGGAGGGTTTGTTATTATCGCTAAAAACAAAAGACTACGAGTATGTCAGATTTACTTCCGTCTCATTGTGTAATTAATAGGTTACTAGTTACTAAACTAGCTAAACTAGGCAAATCATGACAACTAAAAATAGAAATGGACTTAAAATTTTATATTAGGCGTTGCCCATGCTAATTGACTTCATCTGAATCGCACAAATACGATCTAAGAAAATCAAAGTTATAGTCCGCTATATTATAAAAGCGAAGGTTGTTGACCTGAAGGTCATCTTTGCGCCCACAATCATAAGTCTCGCGAGACTTCCCATGCACCAGGGTCGTTGGTTTAATGACCGTCAATGGAACCAAATCGTTTACAAGTTGTTACTGCAAAATTGTGCACGCACGTAGCTGATATACATACATTTTTATGTTAATGAGAGTAATTAGTATTGAAATAAGTTTTAATTTGGTTGAGTCTATTTTACTATCAGATCAATAAAAAGAAACAATCTTGCTCTGTAGGCATGTCATCAACAAAACATTTGTTCAAAACAAAAGCTGAATAACAAACATTAGAATCAAGTATACATAAGTAGAATGTAACGGAAAAGCAATAAATGTCTTTACAACTTGTCTGTTGACTGAACATTATGAACTTAAATAAAGAAGGCTAATTATCGTATTTTTTTTTTTGTTTTAACTTAAAATAAAGAAGACTAATTTTCATATTTTTTATTTTTAAGTGAGGATTCAGCGACTGTAATTTAATAACTTGATAGTCTAGATTGGAATTTTCGAATGTTTTTGGAGTTTCTTCATCTGTTGTTACCTACTAAATACCTATAACTAATATTGTAGGTTCTTTCAATGTAAACTTCATTACAGCCTTTGTCTATTTTTATAAATTCCACTGTTGCCTAATCGTTGAATTTCAGTACCTATCTTGAAAACAGAATTATAAAATTAATTGGGGTCATCCAGCACGTCATCATTTCATTCAATGGAAAAGATTTTTTAGAATTTTTCAACAGTAACATTCAAAGTAGCCAATTGACTTTTTTTGTAATCCCAAGTGACGGGACGAACAAGGCGTGCGCCTGATGGCAAGCGACACGCCCGTCCATAACAGGCGCAGTGCCACTCAGAGCTTTAAATCGCAAAAGATCTGACGGGCACTGCCGCTGCGCCAGTCACCCTGAGACATAAGTTGGAAACACCCATGTGGCTGTAATTTCACCAGCACCCTTACCCTTCAAAACCGAAACGCTGCGTGACGGCAGTAAAGGTCAGGTGGCAGTACTTCCGGATCAACTTTTTCACAAGGAGCTCTACTGCGACTAGACTTCTGTTGACTGCTAATTTGCTTAAAATAGATTTACTACTTGGTTCAACTTTAGTATAAATGTGGTCTAAACCAGTAGCAGTAATGGAAGTATCTTGTTTCTGATATACGTAAACGACTTACCGGATATGCTGGAATCGCTGTGCGTCATGTTCGCCGACGACATATCATTACTATTTAAATGTCAAAATAATAGCCAAAGTCTAAATCATGTTATAAATCATTTCGACGCTGTAAAAAGCTGGTTAACTGACCACAATCTTGAGGTCAATCTAAAAAAGACTAGAATCATGCAATTTCGGCCGTACCAAAGGGAGGAGCTTGACATAGAATTAATAACATCGTACATAAAAGCAGAACAAGTAAATAAATTTGACTTATTAGGTTTGACCATAGACTCGCACTTTGACTGGAAAAATCACATTGAAAACCTTAAAAAGAAATTAGCTCAATTTACCTACGCACTAGCTGTCCTAAAAACTAATTCCGACTTTAATACAGCTCTGACTACATATTACGCATACGCACACGCATGGCTGCAGTACGGGATTATGCTCTGGGGACACAGCACGGTAGCGAATGACGTATTCATTCTGCAAAAGAAATGCCTGCGTATTCTATCTAATATAGATTCTAGAACTAGTTGCAGGCCGTTCTTCCAAAAAAATCGTATGTTGACCGTTCCGTGCATATATATTCTTGACGTTGTTAAGTTCGTTCGGAACAATATAGCCGAATTTAAATTTGTGAGTAGTTCACGTCGCAACAATCAACTGGTGCTTCCTACATCAAGACTGGAACTATTCAGAAATAGTCCATACTACAGAGCCATTTCAATATATAATAAAATACCCCTCAATATTAAAAATGAAATAAATAATAAAACTGTCTCGGTTAAATTAAAAAAATACTTAATGGAAAAGTGCTATTATTCTATGCATGAATTCTTTAATGACAAATAAAAAATTATTCGATTTTTAAACATTGAGACATTGACTTCATTTTGCGATCTTATCTACTATGTGATTTATAAAAGTAAAAATCAAAGTAATAATATGTATTCTTATATAGTCATTATTAATATTCCAATTTTAAAATTAAATTATATATAAAATAAAGCCTATATGCCTAAATGAAATACTTGCTCTTATAATTATTACTTTTTTAATATTTTAATATGTAATTTATAAATGTAATTGCAATGCCCCAACAGGGCTTATGTACATATTGGCATTGTGTTGTTTTTAAGATCTTTCTCACCAAAATTGTACATACTGCAGAAATAAATAAATAAATAAATAAATAATTCCAGTAGGAATGACAAATATATTTACATTGAAAAAATTGTACGAGCCTACTACTTTCCTTCTTTCTTTGTCTTCTAATAAATTTATATTAAAGTTTCTACAAATTGCAATTTATTTAATCGGGCTGCTGATTTCCCTATTTCAATTGCAATTTTTGCAGGCTTGCACACGCGTAAAATGCGGTTCAAGCTGGGCTATTTTTATCATACGCCCAACAGACTCTCAATACTGTCGTTCCAAATAAATGATATTATTATTTACCATTTTTTTACAGTTGGAGAAATCAATTGATGTAAGAAGAGCGGGTTGAGTGAGAATACTGCAAAGACCGGATCTAATAGCACACAATGTCTACAGTCATTGAAACTAGGCTGAACGGGTACGGCCCTGAGAACGGGGCGAATGGGCACAATGGCACCAACGGCCTAAACGGCATCGAGATGAATGAGGACGGACGCTGGGAGGAGAAGTTCCTGCCGCCGCCGTTGCGCATCGACGACAAAATCCGGGCACAAAAGGTTCGTCACCTCCTTACAAATACAATATATTAAATACTTTTTTGTTGCAAATTAACGAAGAAGCGATACGCTAGGATGCCTTAACGTGCAGTCAAATCCTAATTAAAACCTATCTTTGATTTGTAGGTAGATACATAAACATCATTCAGTCAATGACAATGATATGACCACTTTTTTTCATTTGAGCGCTGAGTGTTTTGTTAAATCTAAGTTTATTTTGCAATAATTTTTAATTAACCTGCTTTGCAACTCTATTTCCCGTTTTCATTCCAGCTCCTCGTAATTCCAACTGGAGATGTAAAATAAAATAGCAAAAAATTCCACTTTAAAAAAATCTTTTAGGGGATTTGATCGTTATTGAACATGTCAGCGCCATTAGAAAAATGGTACATCAAGAAAATTAATAAAATCCAGACAGATAAATCAAAATACTACCCAACCAAACATGTGTACAAAATCTCCGCGGCACTAGATGTTGGCTCCGATATAACAGATTGAAACCACTCAACATTAAATGTACGGAAACCAGCCTGTGCAAATAACCTGATAGGTTCCGTTTTACACCTGCAGCTTCCTTGCAGACGTGGATCGCTGCGTAGTACAGTACAATTTTGATTTAGTAGTGATTTTATAACAACCGATAAACTGTGTCATTTTTAAAACATTTCGAGTCATTTTCGAGTTGACCTTCAAACGACCTTCTGGAAGCGTTTAGTATTATTTTTGCTTTGGTGTCCATTGAGATAACTAGCGTAGTCCGCTCAGAGATGCGCGCGCGTCGTCGCCGTATCTGCTGCCTGTTGCGTCGTCGGCTTGCGCCGGTGATCAACACAATTGTGATCTATTGCGGTTTCATTGATTCGCCACGTGCTCAATTGTGTTTTACGAAACATTAACAATAAGACTCGCTAAACTAAAAGCAAACCCTTTTTTTCGTAATACTCGATACGTATTTCCACAAAAACAAAAGGAATCGCATGTATCGCTCACACAAAGTTAGGATATTTGGATAAATTGATCTTTCAGTAAATTTCGATTCGTAAATCGTCAAATAAAAAGATATGCGTACAGTTTAAAATGTAATTTATGGACAATATTTGTTTGCAAATTTTCAAGATATGGCATCCATTGCACTAAAACATTGCAATCTATGGATTTGGAGTTTGCTTTACTATTTACGAAAAACATTTCATCGGTACCAACAATTTTGTATTCCTAACAAACATCACATGACAATGCCGGTGTGACAATGTCACCCGCATGACTTGTAAATGCTTTATTAGAAGTAGGTAATCGATTATTTTATTGTGTTTTGTCGAGAATTTAAAACTGCGATCCTTTCCTGACTCGTCGCAAATAAAACAGTTAATTTTAAGAAAGTATACTAGTGTACGGGAACTTTTGCGATTATTGCTTTAACTTCTCTATCATTGTAGAATCTGCCTACTTATTAATAATAATAGTGGAATATTGTGTAAGTACTCTATCGCAATGAGTCGCAGATATTCTTGGCTGTGCTAAAGATACATATTATGTTAAACGACAACGTGTAATCACCCAAATAGGTATGTTGTTAATCTTCTATCGATAACGCTTCAAGGTTACCATTGTACTTAATACAAACGAATAAGTGAATAATTTAAATATTCAGGTGTGTAAAATAATTAGTATCTATTACAAAATTCCGTTTAGTAGATATTAGTTGGGAATATTCCGGACTGTTATCATTAGGTTATCAATTGTAAATTTCATATGCTAATTAGAAAGGGTCAAAAAATGTCACACGAAGGATGTACAAGTATTGCAACTATCTGAGTAGCCATTGCCACAAAGGTTATCTGCGTAGGGGCTAATTGCACCCGTTAGCCTGCCATTGCAGCGCCGCGTGCGCATACAAGACCGTTCATGAACCGATCAATATGGTTCGAACTTCGGCACAAGGCGAAGGCACAATACTGCCAGTTTTAGTACCACTGGTGGTCACTGTTTACCATGAACGTCTTAAAGTCTCTATTCAACCTAACATATTACAAAAGTCTACGGCTATATCTATGGTTATGAAAATTTAATTAGATCCGCTATCTAAGTATAATATTTGAATATATGAATATACATGACACATAATTAGCGTAAACTGGTTGTTTACGCCAATTATGTACCAAATGGCGATGACCAAAAACCCAAAACACACAGGTACTTTATAAGCCGTTGGACGTACTTATTTAAGACACGAAAATACACTCGGTAGGAAAAGTTTAAAATCAATTTTGCTTGTCTTGCACCGAGAAAGTTCCCGTCACGTCGTGGTGGATAACCCTGGGATGTTCGGTGTACTCGAGACCGATCTGTCAATAGTCCACTAGATAAAACTTTTGATCGTGCCTTACGAGTACCTACACAGTATGTGTGGGTTATCAATTTCCCATTAATTTACTGTGTCCGGCCTTTCTCTCCCTTTATTTATTGTTAGAACGGGTTTCTGGAGGGTAGTATTGCGAGCCCACTCCATATAAACATAATATTTAGTAGACACGACCTACAAAGTATTATCGGGGGGTTGGTTTGCAAATTTGTAAATTTTCCTTCAAAAGGTAAACCGTAATATAACTAAGATTATCTAATATATTTTGAAAAATCACGACCTAAGGCAAAATAATTAATTCCTTATCCACTTTCCACACATCTACCTTAATATGATAATCCTCTTAATCGACAACCTCAGCGGCGCAACATCTTATTTTATGGACGCTGGAGCAGGAGGGCCAAGGTTCGGATCTCAGTAGGAGCAATTTGGGACTTTTTTATATTGGTTCCGATCCGGATGTTCTAGCAGGGCAGGACTCCGTCTCTCGCTCGAGGTTACACGATAAGTGCCTACCACTGAGTGTATCGCCGACAGTGCAAGCGCACAAACAAGTCTTATTTACATTACAATATTACAATACTTGTACAACTCCAGCATTCGGTTCCGCACGACTGCACACGGCAAGGAACGTTATAATAATATTCTTTATTGTACAAAGAAAAGACACATGAAACACACGTTACAATGGACATACAAAGGTGAGCTTATCTCTATAAGAGATCTCTTCCAGCCAACCCTAGCCGTGGTGCAAAAATGAAGTCTGCGGGACTAATTAAAGTACAACAAAATTTAAATTTAAATGTGAATAAAATATTAAACGTTATCTTTTATGACGTTATCTTCATCCTCTGGTAGGTTCTATTTTCCTCGTAGTGAGCGCCTGGTTTCATTAGTCGGATTTAGTAGGCCATTATAGCGTAGGTATTTTCGATTTTGTATGAGAGCGATGTATCTGTTACGTAGTAAATATTGAGTACTGTAATTTCAAGGCAGTGTCCCAGACTGAATTCCGTTGCTCCGGTACTCATAGTATAGGGATTTCCTAGTTTGAGACCAGGTAATTGGTGTGACTCTCTGGCACATTATTATTAATATAAGGAATTAAAGAAAAATAATTTTGTTCTTGCTCTGCGGTTGGAGAGCATTGGTAGCAAAACTTAAATTCTAATGTAGGTATTAATCATCATCTACTTTGTCATAAGAAATCGAATCTAATAAATTTATTGTTCATCATTAATAAATACCAACAATAATTGTTTTGTTGTGTTCAGATCGAGTCCCGGCTATCGTCTCTGGTGCTGTGCGGAGCGACGCTGCGGCGCGTTGGCGAGGTGTTTGAGCGCGAGCTGGAGGCCGGTTTGCGGGAACAGTCTTCCAGTCTGCAGATGGCCAACACCTACGTGCCCGAGCTGCCCGACGGGACAGGTAAAGCTTACCCTCAATAATCTAATTGTACGGACGGCAGTTAAACATTGATGGCTCTTGTGCCGTTGCTCTGGAGGCGATATTCGAACAACAGTTGACTGTACTTCACTTCTTTACTTGGCTTGCTATGTTATGGATTATGGATTTTGCCACTTTATTATTTGGAAAACCTCTGCGTTATATTTCAAACACAACTTTTTTTTCACAACGATTTTAGAAGTCGTTTCTCACTCCATTTCACCTTCATCTTTTTTGTTTTATCTTTTGAAGGGCGTAAAATACTAAGACGCTCTGGTTCTAGCCAGTACTACGTGTCATGTGTTCATAGACCATCTGTTTTTAATTACAGAGGAAGGTCTATTCCTGGCTCTGGATTTGGGAGGCACAAATTTCCGCGTACTGCTTCTGGAGATGCACCAGGGACGGTTGGTTCGGGAGGACGTCAAGCAGTACCATATCAAGTAAGAATACATTAAATATTTTCAGATATCACCGGAAAGTTTTTACACTCCACCTAGCTAAAACTATCGTAATTACCTACTTGATTTTCAGTGACGCCTTGCGGCTGGGCCCTGGCATAGACTTGTTCAATTTCCTTGCTGACTGCGTGCTGGACTTCGTTCGCGCCGAAGGAATGGAGCAAGAGGAACTCTCTTTAGGTACATTATCTTGCTATATTGGTACAAGGCGTTCCGTTCTCTGATGAACGTACTGTTTTCTGTTCTTTAAATTCCATATAACACATGTGCCTATTAAACTTTCAGGTTTTAAGTTTATCTGCCTTAGAGTTCTGTAACTATAATATTTAAAAACTGTTTAAGGAATACTTTTGAGAGTAATCCGACATTTTCTCGATTGCAGGATTCACGTTCTCGTTTCCGATGAAGCAGCACTCGATTCTTTCGGGCGAGCTGGTGACATGGACGAAATCGTTCAAGTGCGGCGGCATGGAGAACGTGGACGTATCAGCGCTGTTGCAACGCTGCCTGGACGAGCGCGGGCTGCGCGTCACTGTGCGCGTGCTGCTCAACGACACCACGGGGACGCTAGTCGCGGGGGCGCACGCGGATCCTGACTGTGGGGTATGCTGTCGGCGTACACGCACTTTAAATCATTGACGAGTAGCCGCTAGAATCCCGCTCCATTTTTTGCGTTTCTAATTTTGTGAAAGCCTCCGCGAAGAATGACGGCCGGGTTTGCGGTGAAACGGCTAGAAGCGAGGAAAAGGGACTAGGACAGAACAATCACAACGACCAACTTCCAGATCGGTGTAATAATGGGCACGGGCTCCAACGGGTGCTACATGGAGCGCGCGTCGCGGGTGACGCACTGGGAGACGGCGCACGACCGCGTCACCGACGTGTGCATCGACATCGAGTGGGGCGCCTTCGGCGACAACGGCTGCCTCGACTTCCTTCGGACGGAGTTCGACAAGGAGGTCGACGACAACTCGCTGCTCGCGACTTCCTTCACGTAAGTTGGTGATATTTAACCTCCAATCCCTGAGACGGAATGCAATAAATGTATTTTTTCGGATTTAAAATCGCGTACCTATATGTTTTATTTGAAACAAACCAAGCAGACAGAACTCGATAGGTAAGATGTGTACATGTAGAATGTGGAGTTGACACTAAAGTGCATAGAATGTTCTATACTTTGTCAGTGTTATTTTTTGTGGTCGGTATTGTGACTTCACACATTTGTACACACATAAATATGCTATGTGCAATTTTTATGTGAAAAGAGCAATCCCTACAGTGTCTTGCTCGTTCTTCCCGGCGAGGTCAGCGCAGGGAACGAGCAGTAGCTTAGCAGTAGAAACTGACGTTTCCAAGTGTAAAAATGTGACCTATGGAGTGAATGAGTGTGAGTTTGCGCAGATTCGAGAAGTACATTGGCGGGCAGTACCTGGGCAGCGTGCTGCGCGCGGTGCTGGCGGCGCTGGCGCGCGCGGCGCTGTTCCCGGCGCAGCCGCCGCGGGGCGCGCTGCTCACCGCGCACGTCAGCCTGTTCGAAGAGTGAGTGCCTCTTTGGTTGGAATTGGAGCTAAACAAAACCATTATTGCATCGTATTCATCAAACTGTTCTTATGGAAGCTCGAACAGGACGATCGTAAAACCGCGCTGTGATCACGAGACCAATGGTGACGTTGTTACAGGGAGAACGCGTCAGGCGAGTGGTCACGCACGTTGTCTGCGCTTCAGGAAGCGTGCGGCGAGCAAGCGCAGTTGTCGCGGAACGACGCGCTCGTCGCGCAGCACGTCGCCAGGCTCATCTCCAACCGCGCCGCGCAGCTCGTCTCCGTTTGTTAGTACCTCTTCTCGCTCCATCCACTGCACATTCTACTTATTACTATTATTATTTTTATTAAAGATCGTTTGTGAGTGTTAATTTTGGAAAGGCCATGACGTTATTGCTTCACAGTTTCTATGTTTATTCTATTTCAACGAGACTTCACATGTCGTTGGAGACTTTGGGATATTTCCAGTATGTGCTTACCGTTAGCCCAGACAACTGCCCCGTTTCTACCGACCCCTAAGGTATACGAGAAGGGTACTCTAACCTGTGCCTGCACAGGGACTTTTTAACTTCAGGTTATGACCCTAGGTTAGGCAGTGCACACGTTTGTCATTGACCGTTGAGGCCGACTATTCGGTCGACTCTAAAGTCCACTACCAAATTTGTTGTCCACTATCAAAATTGGTGGCGGAACTGTCACGCTCATTTCTCGACGCCGAAAAACAGCGTCTCTCCAGTTCCCAATAACCTAAGTGACTGGAAGGACCGGAGGATATCTAGCTCTCCGGGCTAGTGCCGGAGATGCCGGTTGCAGCGTCCTGCGACAATGTCCGGACAAAGCTTCCGACTTAAAGGACGGACGCCCGCTGGTGGTAGGTAGTCTCTTCGAAATACCCTATCACTCGGGTCGGTAGAGGAGTGCACACAATGAAATGGTGTTGTAATGGTGAACCTGTGTACGGCAGGCATAGCGGGGCTGCTCCGGCGCATGGGGCGCACGCACGTGGCGGTGGCCGTCGACGGCTCCGTGTTCAAGAAGCACCCGCGTATCCGCCAGCTCATGGACAAGTACATCGCACTGCTTGCACCGAACCACCCCGTAAGTTTAACATCTCACTATGCTCATAAGACAACACGTTGTTGATAGTTGCTGGTTTCTCGAGGAGTAGTCTTAGGTGGTTCAATTTATGAAGGTTTCATCCATATAAAAATGTCGTTGCAGTTCTCTCTGATGGGCGTGGACGACGGCAGCGGTAAGGGGTCGGCTCTGACGGCGGCCATCGCGGCGCGGATAACGAAGCGCGAAACTGCAGCCTCGTAACTTTACGGTGTTTGATTGACGAACAGTGAACCTCCTACGCACCATTGCCACAAAATGTTGGGGCACCAGGGTTTCAAGGCTTTTCATATAAACGTTACCGGAGGCGGTAGATGTATCTTATTATTTACGTCTAAATATTAGGACACATTCATCGCAATGCTTTGGGTGGGAGTGGTAGGAGCCGTCGGAAGGAATTTAACGGATGATATTGTGTAAAGCTCATTTAGGTTAAGACGTTATGAAAGGTCTGTGATTAATTTACTGTGTTGTTATTAGAGCGACCCTTATTGTGTATCGTTGAAGACATTATGCCGTTGCTTCGAGTTACGGGCTACGGGATCGAATGTGGGCGTAGATAATTTTTAGATTGACGATTAATAACGAGGTGATTCAAATGAGAACGCCACAAAGCCACCTGTCAACTGCTGCATCGAATTCGATCACGCTGCTATAATCATAGGTACAGTACGTGATGCACGATATTTTTGCAAACGTAATTAACTGCCGGTGCCCGTCGCAGCTTTGGAGGCTTGTTATTGTCTTCTGGTTTTGTACTGTTAATATGTTTATTATTGTAGTAGCAGTAAGTTACATAAGGGTATGAGTAATGAAGTCCACGTATAGTGAAGAATTGTGTCAAAAACCGATTGACAGACAAACTTAATTTGAATTTAAATTTGTAGAATATGCTTGTGGATGGTGAACCATTTGCCGAAGGTGCAAGATGTAGAGACTGGTTCGCGATCGCTACAGTCCAACACACATCCAGCTACAAACATCTCCAACTAGCGCTTAAAAACGAAAGTGACGTACGCGGTACAATTGGCAACTAAAGGCCCATTTAGATGGAGAGAGTTTATCGTACGCTTCGTGACGAAAAATCGTACTCGATTGTCGCAAGCAATAATCGCCATAAGATTATCGTATCATAATGTTTATATTCAGGCAAAAACTAAAGACTCGCCTACGATTAGGTATGTCATACGCGATTCGCAGGCAACTTAATCGTCTCCTCGACTGTTTACACGGAGAAATATATAGTGAGTTCTTGCTCACGAGTTTCGATTTGTCTAAACACGTTTTCGTATGATATTTTTTTCAAGTTCATACGATTATCGTACAAATCGATTCAAACCGTTTTGATTTCGAGAATTGCCATTCGAGTTCAGTGATTACGGCGGTATTGACTATGGATATATCAAAATGAGGCAAAAATCATTCAAATTCGGAACTGCTGCTAATATTAGGTTCATTGCACTCGTAGTGCAATTTATAGAAATATACATATATATATATATTTTAAATTTTATAACATTTCTTAACCCAACATGTTTTTTCGTTCTCGTTTCATTAATTCTTGTCTTAGAAAAGCAGTGATAATCAAAAAATCCTGGCGCACTGCACTCATGACAGCGACTAGTCGGCACACAAACTCGAAATACGATTTTTGGTTTCAAGTTCTGTTTACATGGAGAAGTTCAATATTCAAAGGCGAGGCAATCGATTATCGCTCACGTGGAAGGGCGATAATAGTGAATGTTTAGACGAGGAAAGTTTTTTATATTCTTTCGATAATCGTATCTTCGAAACGAAAGACTCTTTCCATCTAAATGGGCCTTAAGAAATTGGATAGCTTGTAACCCTAGCCGTGGATCGGCCACACAAGAAACTTAATACAATATCATTAGAATCGACGTTAGTTCAGAACCTCTATAACTTTTAGTATTAAACTATTCTAATTTGATAAATCCAAAAAACGGTTATCTCTTTTACTCTCTATTACTTAGTTTAAAATTAATCCTTTAAGTTTAGGTTAGAAATGTCTCAATCACAAAATCGACACCGTGGCCCCCTCTCGTGGTCGTATTCTTGTTTAGTTCGTAAGACGTGTGATCTGCTCGCGGGCCGAGTGCAATCTGAAGCATTTAGCTGTAGTGACATACATATAAGTGACTGTTAGTGTATCTGGTGAACAGAAGACTTATCAACGATATACCTTTAAATCGGACAGTTCGCTGCTAAGGTATGGTAAGATCGGCTTTAATTATGTACTTTTACAATTTCCACAAAATTATACCGCTTTAAGGTTACCTACCTGTGCCTACGATTGGATTTCCGCAAATACTTATTGTAAATAGACAAGTCTCGAGAAATTGAGCGACAGGGTAGTCCCTTACATAGGGGCCGTACTTGGGGGGTTGTTCCAAAACTGGAAATGGAGCGTATTTTCACGTATTTAAATCGTGAATCATATATGCAGGCAATTTATTTTAATCGGGTATTTAAAAACAATGATTAGGGTAAAATTATTCAATTAAAATGAGTTCGAGGGAATAGGTTTTTGCAGTTTTTTTACGTTTCTGTAAATTGTGTAGTAAATAAAATTAACTTAAGTAAGTTATATCACAGTTTAAGGGAGTACACTGATGTGCACATTGTTATTTCTCGGAGAATTAAATACATATTTTCGTAGAGCAGTGTTGGAGTTAGGCTGTGATTTATAAAGCGAACTTTGCCTTAGTTTAAGTAAGAAATTAAATGAAACTTTGAGTATACTTCAACATGTCTTACATACATTTAGGCAAATTCCGCTTTGTAAATCTCAGCATTAGTTTACGGACTGTGGTTATGACAGAGGTTTAGTAGCGTAAATTGTTTTTATTGAAAAGAAATTGACGTGAAAGAATATTTGTTATTATCGTTGTTTATATTAAAATATACACATTTTACTATTTTGTAACAACTCTTTTCATTTTCCACCCACTTGTATGGCTATAGGCACTTTGCATACAATACACCCGCTAGGGTATGACGGACCTCTGCAAAAAAATAAGTAAAAAGGCAGAGGTTTTATTTTATTTCAAAAATCTTATTGACTCGAGCGGAACGAAAATACAAAAAAAATAAATTTATATCAATACTTAAATTAAAAGTACTTAACATTAAATGTCCATTGTTATTGTTTGTCTTGCAAATTTTATGATTGGTTTCTAATTCACGAAATCACTATGTATTTGTATTTGGATTGCGTAAAATAAGTAACGTATAGATAATCTTATTGATAATAATTAATTACACCATTTGATGTCCTTTTCGGCTAATTACTAATAACAATAATTTTACTAAAAACCTTGAATAATTATGTAATATTTCGGATTGAATAAAACGGGTCGTAGTCGATAAGTAAATATAATTAATTCATAATAACACGTTATAACCTGTCCACTTAAACTAGAAATATATGAAAAACTTAACGGTTATAGAAGCAACCTTGACGAGGACAGAATTACAAATCTTTGTAAATTCTACAACGACAATGAAGCTTAATTCTATTGTAATCTATCATTAGCTGCATTTTGAATTTTGATTAAATAAATGAAAACGTGCTGTCACTGAAAAATAGTACTATAGTACTTGCGAACAGTTATTTGGGGCAAAAGGAGTCCCCTCTGACCTTAATCCCTGTACAGCAAACTACGGCCATAGCCTAGATAATTCGTAAGTATAATAAAACTATTAGACGCAATGGTTACGTCGAAGACCCGTTGTGTAAGTGACGCAAAACTTACAGAGAAAAGTCAACTTCAAACCACGGCCAGAGCAAAGACCCATGTTTTTAGGAACTACTTTCGAAAAGTGTATGGGATATAGTTATTTATTTTATACAGAAAAGCCGGTACTTTGATCTGATATTCTGGGCGCCCTGTATATTAATATGATATAACTGTTTTATGGACTTGTTTTGTCACTCGGGCGTTATTTGTCTATTGGTTGTAGCTAGCAGTGAGAAGCGTAGTCGTCTTCATCGTAGACGTCATCTGCGGTAACAAGCGGGGCTGCGGCGGCTCTCACGACACTTCCACTTTCTCGCGTACCTTGCGTAGGATGTTCTGCAGCTCTGACGCTGACGTAGTTTTGTACTGAACAATAGAATGTAATAGCTATATAAAAATGGCTTGCATACTTACATCGCACACGTTATGCGGCTAAATGAGGGAATACATTTTGAATGTTTCCTTATTTATTCATTTTGCTTTTGGTTTTTGCGGATGGAATAGGATGGACAGGCGGGTGGCTTACCGCCACGCGCGCGACCTGTTCCCTCGCTTGGGATTACATTAAAATAAAATAAGGCCAATAAATACACTGAAACCGAAGATGGTCCGAGCGAATCGCCGGTTGCAAAGCGCTCCGATATGGAGAAACCGGAGTTGGCGTCGCGCGGGAGAAGGCGTTCGCCGAGCGACGGAGCGACAGGGCGCGACTCACCCCGGAGACGTTGCGCTGCACCAGCACCTGCGAGTACAGGCGCTTGCCCTCGTCCGCGCCCAGCGCCGCCTCCAGCTGCGCGCGCGTCAGCGCGAACAGCGCGTGGCCGGGCACGCGCAGCGCGCGCTGCGCGTTGCTCGAGAAGCCCTTCGCCTCCAGCCACTCCACCACCTCGTCGGGGTTCGACTTCTGCAATTGCCATCGTACGTTTGAAGGAAACTTTGAAGGTCCGGCAAATTAAAGATTCGTGAGTCTGCTGCAATCGAACGGATTTTCGGCACATCCGAATGACTCAGTGAAGAGGCATTAAAGCGATACGAGTTAGAATATTTCTTTGCTTATCTCCGTAAGGGGCATTCTGTATAATATGTATGAATGTCTTCTGGACCTGAACCTGAAACTTTCTGTTTATTTATATATTGTAAAGATGGGGAGTACTTGGTGTATGAAGATGTCGGGCGTCTTCTTGATGTCGATCAGTTTGTTGCGGCGCTGCTGGATCTGCGGCAGCACAACGCGCAATTCGTCCTGTAGGCTGCTGCCGGTCGACACCGTTGACTTCGTTGCTGCAAATACCAACAAAATACACTTCAGTTCCAAGAAACTAACTACTAAACTAAACATTTGACTTCAAAGACATCGAGTATGTCATCTCATCCACAGGGAAAAAGTTAACATGAACTATGACCATCAGATTACCACAAATGATGTTCATAGCACTCATTTGGGGTAATTTTAGTCTTATAAAGCGACAGGGACTTGGTTATTTAATAAGGTGGCAAATCAGGAGACGAAATGTGACGGCCATAAATTGAACCGAGTAAGGATGCGCCGTTCGGAACATCCGGAATCCGGATGTAACGGCCAACGGTGACACGGTAAAACACAATGAACAAGATATCGAGAAATAAGACCTATATTCTAAGTAGTAGAAATATACTTACATTTCATGGTGTCAGTCTTGACCGGCGCGGACGATGGGGCTGGGGGAGGTGGAGGCGGTAGTGGCGGAGGAAGCGGCGTTGGCTCAGCTTTGTCTGCACATGCGCATCAGCTTATTGTTAGTCCTGCTTAGTGATCTAAAACTATATCAATAGTACTTAACCCATTTTTAGAACTCACTTAAATAGCGAATGTAAAGGGAAAAGTTAGCGGCACACTTACCACAGCACAGCATAGAGAACAGCACACGGCACAGCACAAGCAAGCGTTAATGTAACATAACATAATATAACATGGGACAGAAAATGTCACACGAAACACACGAGTAATGTTCTAGAATTTCAACACAAATAGCTTAGAATACTACATAGTAACAATGGCTCAATACTTCAAAATCAAGTATTTTTTTATCTCGATTGACGAGCCATTGAACATAAATAATTAACATATTTACAGATATTGATATTGATATTGTAATTGGTGAATCTAACAAAATGAACGCAAAACTATAGCAGGAAACGATAAGGAGTAGATCATACGCCAACACTAGATTTGATAAAAATTTTAATGTAAAAATGTATGTAAATACAAACTCGGAACATTAACTAGTTTGTGGGCGGAGTGGCCGCGCATCGGGTTCCGACTCGTGTCAGTTGGAAAAATCAAAAATCACTTTCGCTAATAAAAACCGAGAGCTAAAGAGAAGGTATGGCCGAGATCGCCCACTCCGGTATACACAATAAATATATTATAATCATTATGATTGCTTCATTTACATCTTACGTAACATCTAGCTAGCAGTTAAATAAATCTATGTTTTAGAATTCTTTGATAACTCTCGAATAGACTCTAGATCGAACAATAAATACATTACTACGTCGGGCGACTGAAAATACTGTAAGGAATATAGAACGCATCCTACGCCGCCTTAGAAGAGGATCGACATGAAACAACAACGTCTCATCAGACTTGTACGGTGCGCTATTCGCAACACCAGCGGCGATGGCGCGCGCGCCGGGGGCGCGGCGGGCCAATGCGGAACGTTATTAAAAGTATACTTATAAAAAATATTTAGCAAAAATGTAGCAGTTGTACGATGACACAACTTATACTTGAAATACTCTTGGAGAGAGGATTCTCGTTTGAAGGTTTACAGACGAATGTTGAACATGTAATGAAACCCATAATTGCATTTTACATAAGATCGAACTTACAATCAATTGTAAGTGCTTAGCTGGCGCAATGAACGATAATATCAGATTAAGCACTTTTGAGCTCCCACACGTGTGAGGACGCACACGTTAGCGACAACAAGAACACACGCACACACACACGGACAAACACTAGAAGTGAGCGTTCGGATACTTGCGACGCCGCAAACACCTACTCGCGTCGATTGCTGAGGGACACTCCTTTTAATAAATACCTATTTACGGAAGAGCACGCGATTAAATTATGACTAACGACGCCCGGACGAGCGACAAGCGGCGCGGTTAGTGAGCACTTTGGTAGAGGCGACGCGAAGGTGACACGTCGCGAGGGCGGATTCTAGACGAACGTGTAGTAGACCCGTTCTCCGTCCGGCATCCGTCCAAAACATTTACTGTCAAAGACGCCCATGCGAATGAAGTTTAATACTTGACATTGTCTTTTCATTTGCTCGAGTATTATATTGACCATATTTAGCTCGAGTACTTCGTAGCGGTTCACTGTTCCATCGCAAATAAGAGAGCTAAAACAAGGGAGTGCACCTGCGTTTGCCCGTATACGTTTGTGCACTATAATATCTTCTGCGCACCTGACTTCTTTCGAATTAAGAACTACGATTCACCAGCGCCATCAACGGCGGAGTTGAAGTGGTCACCGTGGCCGAAAACGGTCAGGGAATTCACGTATTTGACAGTATGTTTCGGACTGAAATTCGAACAAGAACGAGAGAAGGATCCACTAATCGGAAACTCGCCTTCAACAGCCCGGAAGCTAGAGGAAACGGTCGAAGTGTTGCTTCGCGGGTAAACGGAAGGAATTAAAGACGGCGGTGTCACTAGAAGTATCGGAACTCTCCCTTCTTGCCGAGGCGCTCGCGGCGCACCCAGTCGGCGTTGGCACCCCCCGCACCCGCGCCCCCTGCCCTACCCGCTGCACCGTCAGGGCTGCTGCCGCCGGAACCGCGCCCACCGCCATCCTGAAAAACAATCGACCGCGGTCACAATATAAGTCAGGTCGCCATTCCGCTTCAACCAAACGATAAGATAGCAAGGGGCTAGGTACCTGGTAGTGGGAGTGCGTGTAGATGGGGTTGGGGTAGATGGCGCTGCGCGGCGCGTCGGGCGAGGCGGGCGGCGAGAACGCGGGCGCTACGATCGTGTGCGGCACGTGCGCCGTCACGCCGCGCCGGTTGCGCGCTTTCCACCACTTGCGCGAATCGTCCAGCACCTGACACGTCCAAGCTTAGGATGACGTCAAACAAGAAACTCGCATTCGTCATGTAAGCGAAGTGAAACTCGTACGGCGAAACAGTTCATTTTATTCTATTCAAAGGAGCTACACGATTTTTCTTACTGCAACTTTTTGTTATTTCAAAGAATTACTACCATCATTCGTTGATTATTTATTTATTTATTATACGTATAATGCCCCGTGCCCAGCAATGCAGCAGACGGCTGCTGCATTGCTGGGCGCGGGGGTCTTCTAAAAAGAGGGTCTCGGCCATGGTGACGGCACGCGGGTTGAGGAGTTATCCAGGGTTTGTGAACCCTATTTATTACCATTTGTCCGTTTTAGACATGGTAGCCGTGAGGCGTTTGTCATGGATGGCGACTAGGTCCGACCCTTCCTGCTTCACGTTCCACGAATAGAGTGATTTGAAATGGTTAGAAGGGGTGGGCTGACCTCGAGGAACTCGCCGCGCACGACGGTGAGCTCCTTGTCGTTGTTGGCCGTGCGCGGGTACGTGACGCGCACGACGCGGCCGCCGCGCGCCGCCACGCCGCGCGCCCACGCCTCGCCCAGCGCGTCTGCAACATCAAGCCGGCGCTACCGTTCGCTCGACGGCTAAGGGCTGCTCAAGCTCACATAGCACATCTTCAACTCGGTTATAGAGAGGCGTCGGCAAAAGCTTAGTAACGAACCGTCGTCGCGGTACGGCGGCTCCCGGTCCGGCGAGGACGCTGCCGAGCCCGAGTCTTCTCTCGCCAGTACTCGTGTGTTACTGAAACATTATTTGTAAATAGTCAAGTGATAACCAAATGAACTTGTGAGGTCCGATAAAAAGCACCGAGATTATTTTTATGCCAGACATATGTACAGTTTCTTTTGTGTAAAGTTTTTAATTTTGATATTTATTGTAACCGAAGTTAATGTCTAAAACAATTTTCATACACGAAAATGACAGCACCAGGAATGAGATAGCATAATGTACCTTCTGCCACGTTTCTAAAATCTATGTAGTGTTATAATAGTGTAGATTTGGGGTTAAATTGTATTACCTACTATTCTTAAGATATACCATTGGTTTACTGTGATAGTTGTCGCTAGCAACCGCGTAAATTACTTCACAATTTAATACGACAAATTATACAGCGCCCCTAGCGGTCACAAGAAGAAGCAACATTTTGTATAAACATTTTACGCGGTCGCTCGCGATAGTGTCACTATAATCTCAAGGCACTGATGATAATTTATTACCTTCATTTGTCCCTTTTTTTTCGATACCCAGAAAACCACAACACCCGAAATACTTACTAAAATGAATTTCATACAAAAATGAAAATTGTGGTAGGAATGAAATTGCAATAGACGAGTCTATTCACACATCAGTATATAGTACTAAAAAAAACCGACTTCAAAAGTACGTGGAATTACATTTATTTGCCAACTTTTATTGAAATATCCCGTAGTTCGCCACTATATAGGACTTGATACGGGAGATAATAAAAATCGGTTCTCACTACTCAAAGTATATTGAGAGAGAAAAACGCCTTGAATTGAAGAATAGCAAAACCAACCATTAAAATAATTACTCCTCAAGTAAAATTTAGGCGCTATTTATAAAAATGAATGTTCATGCGTGATCAGCCACCTTTAGAGGTGTAAGATTTTCTTCAAATGAAATGGGACCACAATGGGGGTACCCTCTTTCCAACAAAAAAAGAATCATGAAAATCACAAATTTTTTCACAATTCAATTGGTTCACAAATACCGGAGTTATCGCGTAACATACATACAAAAAAACAGTCGAATGAGAACCTCCTCCTTTTTTTGAAGTCGGTTAAAAATAATATATATTTTTCACAGGTACAGTCAACAGCACATAAGTTTGGCATTTTGTATTTTGGACTGTTCTTATCGTAAGCGGCATGGAGTTGGATTTAAGTCTTAAGTGTCAAGCTTGACGTGCTCTTGACCCTGGACATACCTTTTGTACCCCATCATCATGTTTTTTGAGTTTTAATGTCCTTTTTAAAAGCGTTCCGAAATTCCTTGTATTTGGGTACAAATTGGAAATGAGATTATTCCTAATAGTGTACGAACATTGTATTATGAAACGACGCTAAATAAAAATCGATTTTTTTTATTTGGTGTATTGTTATTGTGTATCTTTGTTCATAATTAATTTATCTGAAGGAAAATAATCGATAAAATATCGATTTAAAAAAGCTAGGGGAAAAAAGCTCTTTGCATGCTTTTTGTTGATTTCATATTTTTACAATAATATTAGTATTTTGTTGATTTATTAATTAATCATTATGCGCCACTACGACTCTTGTTATTTATAGATAGCTTTTTTAATTATTGTGAGTGTTTCGAACAAATGTGAGTTTATCAATATTCTGGTTTGCTTATCTGCGATTTTGAAAATCTAAAATTGTGTAATTAGTTTATATTACAATCAAAGATCATTATTTCATTCTAATTGTCTGTGTATAGGTAGTTCATATGTAGTACGACTCTATAGCAGTATAAGTATAAGGAATAGGTAGGTAGGTACTTTATTATATTGTAATTTATATAGGCTAGAAACGAGAAATTCGAAAGTGTGCGTAGCAAATCACGATCCGGGCAAGCGAATTGACAAAATACTCGTGTTTACACATGAAATAAGTACTTATAATAAGTAGTTGATATGATGGATAGGGGTTTATTGTGGTTTTACGTGTTATCTTTATATTTGTTAATCGTAATGTGAGATAATCCGCGAAGTTAAAATTAATACAAAATGTTTCTAACAAAATTTGGTATTTCTCGTAGACAAATGTAAAAACTAATAGGTTTGTTGAATTGAAAGTTGTAACAGCAAACAGTGATTGAGTAATGAAGCGATGACTGACGAGTGCAACAATGGCACAACGCGTCACAGGGTAAGCAGGATACCTGACGTACGGGGAGTATTGTTCCGCGTACAGATCGGGCTCGTCACGGTCGTAGGCAAAGACGGCGGGCGGCGGAGCGGCGCGCTCGGGGGCGCCGCGGGACTCGCGCGCCTCCCGCGCCTCCCGCGCCTCCCGCACCTCCCGCACCTCCCGCACCTCCCGCGCGGGCGCCCCGCGGCCTGCCTCACCACGAGGAGACGCTCTAACATTGCACCACACAACACGCACTCAGTACACGGCACAACACGATCACAACAATAAGCCAAACGATGATGGTGGTATAGCGAGCATGATTCATGGTACGTCGAGTTCTCACCTGCGCAGTGGTTGGTCGTCGACCTGGTAGTCTGGCGACCAGCCGTCCATGAACACCGGCTGATATGGCGGGATCGTAGTCTTCCACTGCTCTCTGTAACGCACAATACAGTACACCGTTTTGTCTAAGGATTCGTGACCACAAATGATGGCAATACTTGAGTCGATGATACAATTGTAAAATCAGCCTCATGCGGTAGCATTGATATCGCTTTGGCAGAGGCAAGTTTGATGACGTGTTTTTGACTATAGCCAACACAAAAAGGATATAGCCAATACTGTGAGATGTGATAATTCATTTCAAGGATATTGTCGCACCTGGGAATGAGCCAAGCGTCGCCGAGCGAGTGCCAGAGTTCGGTCTCCTTGCTGGTGACGCAGTTGGCGAGCAAGTTGAGCGCGTCTCGGGTCAGGAGTGGCTGCACGACGCGCGTGGGCAGGCGGCCGTCGGCCGCGTCCTGCGCCGCGTCCACGATCAGCGCCAGCGGAGTGAAAAGGAAGTGGACCAGCTCCGGCGCGTTGGGATCGTGGATGTGCGCGCGCAGTCTAGCCAGCAAGTTGAAGGACAGCTTAAATTTCTGCAGCACGTCAACGAAGTCACGCTCTGGCGGAGGCCGCGTGCGCAAGGCCAGCATGCCCTCGCCGGCGGCGGGTCTTTTGCCGCCGCGGCTGCGCCGGCGCCTTTCGAGCTCGCGCGACGCTGCCGCCGCGTGCTGTAACCGCGCGATGAACTTCTCGATGTCGTCGAAGCAGCGATTTAGAATGGCGATGTCCTGCTCGTAAAGCCGCTCGGAACCCGTCGACGACGCGTCGTCTCGTTCGCCCACCGAGCTTCGCTCGCGACCCAACTGTGCCGACATTTGCTGCGGAACAAATGTTTCGATAATAGCCGCGCCGCTTACATATATATAATGGACGTACACGCGAGACAACTCACTACCAACACAGCTTCCCACTGTTGGCGCGTAAACGTGTGGTAGAGTCGCGGGTGCTCCATAGTGCCGTATCGCCGCCACTGGCGGCTCTCGGCCGCTGCGCCGCGCCTTATCGCGATAAGGCGGGTGACGCGGAGCCCAAAAGATCGCTGATTTGTTTTGACAATAATCCTACGCGCCGAGTACTTCCAATAACTGATCAATGATCATACTACAATTTCAGTGTTGATTGAACTCGATGAGATCGACGAGCGATATTTCTCTGTGTCGGTGATTTTTAATTAATTAAAAAAACGAACAGAAGAACATTTACATGACTTGTTATCTGCCCCTGCCTTCACTTGGCTCCTTTATTTCAATGTTCCCTGTTTATCATTTATCACGATTAGATTAAAGCAGCCACGTTTACACCGTTCGCTAGCGACATGGCTATCAAATGACGAGGGGCGATAGCGGCGCAGGCGCTGGCAGCAAGGGCTGCACGTCACGCCAACTTGAACCTCGACAGTTTTTTCAACATTCCTCATCGTCATATTATAACACTTAATTTAGTGAGGAATGCATACTATCATGCGTGATTTTGCATTATTACCTATTTCATCATTTTCTGAAAACACGATTACCTACTACATTTTTAAATAAATTTTGTCACAGGTATTTTTAACGCATGTTGCCTAAATATTTATGATTTGCGTTTTTATCAATTATTCTAAACATTAAAAGACAGATAAGTTATTTCTTCGCTGTGACTCAGACAATGATTTGCCGCTATATCCTTTTGGATCAAACGAAATATGTACATTATTAGGTGTATCATTGTACAACATCTAAGAAACTTCGCTTTCGCATGCATGCAAGCTCGCGCGCAAGCAAGCATGTAAGCAAGTAAGTTTGTTCAAGTAAACTGACATTTGGCATGCATTTCTTTTATGACAACTAAGTGACGAAACAGACAAGTCGCGCCCCTGATGGTAAGCGACACGCCTGTCTATAACAGTTGCAGTGCCATTCAGTGCTTTAAATTACAAAGATCTGAGGTGCACTGCGTGCGTCACCCTGAGACATAAGTTTACAAGTCCCATGTGCCTGTAATTTCACCAGCACCCTTACCCATCAAAACCGGACGCAGCAGCTAATGCTCACGTTACTGCTTGGCGGCAGAAATAGGCAAGGTGGCAGCACTTCCCTGGATGAACTCTTTCACAAGAAGCTCTACTGCTATTAACTACTACTTTTGTCAAGTAATTATAGGGCAAACGCTTCCTATAGCCTTCTAATTGTTCGGATAGGAATCATACGATCTTCTAAAACTTCTATCGAATATCGAGTTCTTAGGTTTTCGCGATTGTTACACATAGGAAATGAAACCATTTTTCCGGATTTAAATCGCGTATATTTGTTTTTTCAAACAAACCCATGTTTCGGGCCCTTTACAGGTCCCATGGTCACGGTTGACTGAGGTGGTACAGTCTTCAACCAGTTATGTCTAATATTGATGCAAACCACCCTATTTTTTCACTATAGTTACAATAGTTATTAATTAAATACCTTATTTTTAATTTTACAAAGAAAACATTCCAATTTACGCTGTATTAAGTTTTACAAATTATTTTATTGAATTAATTTTTATTAAGTTCAATTTATTATTAATTATTAATAGAAATTAGAATAAACTAAAATATATTAATTAGTACTGCAGTCTTATGTCTGTCGAACAATCTTAAAGAAACCGTTATTTAGAATTTGAAAGAAAAAGTTGACATAAACGTGATGTGGAATTATTGAAAACGAGCTCACCTGTCTGCGCGGTCGGTCAAGGTCGGTATCCCTTTCCCGCTCCCTCTCCCGCTCGCGCTCGATGGCGAAGTCGCGCCCGCCCGCGTCGGAACCGCCGCTGTTCACTCCCCTGCACCCGCAACAACACATTGCATTAGCACAAGTAGCGACACTAACGAACCAGAGAAGATGAGGTAACCGATATATGCGCAGGTCAGCAGAATGTTTCCAGATATTACATGTGGTGACACTTGTTTGTTTATCAAATCGTTGACAAATTGTGACCACGAGGTCCCTTTCGTAAGACAAAATCACACCAAGAATACACGGAGATAGGCAGGGGAGCGTCGGGGAGTCTGATCTTCAACCAGAGGTACATGGTGGCGTGGCTCCGTCCACTCGTGTACATATGTTAGGAGACAACTGACGAATTATTGTTAACCAATATCACACACGCAGATAACTAATCTTCATCTCAAATTGTAGGTAGCCTTATCTTCAAAACAATTCGGTCGGTGTTAACTATTCAGGTTTGTTTATCTCCACACCTCTGGATTCGGCATTTGTATTGCTGTATTATATCAATTGAATTCGCGAAGTAATTGCTGCCTATGTCGACGATTTCATGTACAAGTAGGTACAACTTATTTAGACACACCATAGGCAAACTCATCTTGTCATATATTTTTTTATACAATATGTTTTGCCATTACATGAGTATACGCAGAATAACATCGATATTTTTTATTTCAATACAAAATAATATAATGCATAGAGGGAAAAAAGATTAATCGACCCCCCTTAAAAAGCGACGACTGCTGTTCGGAAAGAAATGTCTCAGAGACACAATAGGTTCCAAGCTCGCGCGGACAGGTCTTACTTGAGCGCGTTAAGCTCCTCGACGAGCGTCTGCGCACCCACGTCGTGACACTGAAAGATGTGCAGCTCCCGGCGCGGGCCGCCGGGCGCACCCGGCTCAGGAGAGGCGCCGCCCGCGCCTCCCGGCGAGCCCACCACGAACGCCAGCACATTGTTGTACAGTTCCGTGGGCTCGGGCGACGTGAAAGCTGTAGGCGAGTGCACCCAGGCCGCCGGGAATCGCTCCATTATAGACTACATAATCAAATATTAATATGTAAGTGCGAGATGTAGCTACTCAGTAATCTGGAGACTGAAAGTGACAGGAATACACAAGTTTCACTGCTAACTTAGTATGGAGTTAACAGTCGATTATAACCCGACCTAAGTAAGAAGCCCGATAAATTAGTGACTTTAAATAAAAAGCGAAAACGTGTAAGAGGTGTAATAAAAAATATAATAAGTACATATTAATTGTGCGCAAGATACGGAAATATTTGCGAATGAAGTAGTTAAGAATGATATTTATGTACCATAACAATTATATCCAATATTAAAATAATCAAACCTTACTATCTTTTTATGAGCGCGGAGTTATAAGTAAGTATCACTTCTGAGTTACGTACTTATGCAATTATCGAAAAATGCCCATTGGTGAATGTTGCAAGTCCTGTAAGCCCTTTTAGCCGCGTTATAAAAATGTTTATGCATAGGAAACACAAGTGATTGTTGCCTTTCTTAGTTGCTTTAGTTGTAAAATTCAAAATTTTTCACTTCTCCAGCAGGCTAATGTGGATTTTTGAAAATTTACAGTATTCATCACACAGACAATTCCAACTAAATTGTATTCTTCTGTTTTTAAAATCCGATCGTAATGTATGGAAAGACCAAATTATTATTTTGGCTTTTGTATATTGTGCATGTGCTTATGAAACACTCGCTGCTTGTGTACAAGCAGCATCACTCCAAATTTAGAGTACACTCTGTACAAAGTGAATTTTTAAGTACAATATATTGTAGTTTTATACATATTTATGTATAAAACTCTGACTACTACTCTGATTTCAAAGTCCTTTGCATGTTTTTTGAATTAAGTAAAGCAGAAGGTTATTAAAACGTTAGGTTTTGACCTTCGGTTCTTACATCTGTTTGTCTATGACGGTTCGAGGAAATCATATTTATTTGCGATTTCACGACTATGAAAAAACGATATCGTAATGTAGGCAGCAGCGTGAACTTTATTTAATTCGTTTATTGCATCCCGAAGAAGATTAATACGGCAAGTTTTACTATAGTTTTTACATACTCTGTTATAATATACTCTCGGCTGCTCTGCTTTAAACTTGGCAACAATTCAAGAGTTCTTTTGAAAATCGTTAACAGCCTGAATAATTAAGCTCACAAGATCAGCTTTTGTTTGCTTATTTAAGGGCTTAAACTAGTCCATGCTCAATGCGCCAATCGACGTTTTTGTTATGTCTGAAACGTTAGGCTGCGTTGAAGCTTTCATTATACACTACTCCTATAAAAGCGGTAATTTAATTATAGTAATTTTATTTATGAATTGCCGTTTACTTATTAAGTTGCATAAACAGTATTTGTGTAGGTTGTTCCTATTGACTTCACACCGGTTATGATTGTGGATCGCTGCCCCGGGCGACTTCCCGTCAAAGGACAATTTAATTAGAAAAGTCAGTAGAGTTTCAGTTTTGCTTAATTTAGAAGTGTACGCACCCCTGTCTCGTAATCCATGATGAGCACCCACTGCCCGTCTAAACATAGTTGCATCTTCTGGCTCCATATTCCTGCAATACCAGATTCGGTGTCGATTACGGATGTATTTTCGCCGTTGCTCAGTCTGCCCCGATCGCAGGAGCAACGCCGCTGTACCAATCCGACGCTCGGGGCGAACGAGGCTCGCGTGCTCACCGTTGGTCTTCTCCAGCTGCAGCAGCCTGCGCATGCCGTCTGCGGGGAACACGATGCCGGTCTCGCGCGTGACAGTGAAGGTGGCGAGGTGCTCCAGCACGTACGCGCCCCGCTCGCCGCCCGCGCCCGGCCCGCGCAGCCCCGCGAGCTCCTCGAACTCGTCCAGCGCGCGCCGCTCCTCGCCCCGCGCCCGCGCGCTGCTCCCGCCGCTCGCTCCGCGCAGCGCCATCGCCTAGCGCCCTCTGTTGCTGTGCATGCGCATAATGTCGCCCCGGGGGGCTGGTGCCGCTGCTCCTCTTGTACGCCGTCTCTGAAGAACCTGTCGAATGAGGAATAAACGGTTCAACCCCTACCGTCACTTTCGATTGACGATTTCCTAGCGTTGGACTTCCTCCCGTTTATTTATTTGCAACCAACACGGACGACGTAGTGTCAGCCACATACCTACTAGTAAAACTTAAGGCGCAAACGACCAGTGCCGTTGTGGTGTGACGCCGCGAGTTATTTAGGAATATTCTTCGCATAGACCACGCTAGACTGGACGCGTGAGTCGCGTGACACTGGGGCAAATAAACCGGTCACTCGGTTAAACACTTACGGTGTTGATATATTTACTGCAGAAAGTACCTGCAATAGTATAGCGGTAGTAGTATATGTATACGGGAGAAGCGCTTCGCTTCCATCTTTTTAATAACAGCAAAGTAGTGGAATTTTATTTTTATGGGATTGTTACTTGTTAAATATTCAATTGGCTTTTTCTAGGCGAGAGGAACGTGAGGTGCTTTCGTCTACACCATTAGCACCATCAATCTCACCTGATTATGGTTAAAAGATTGCCTGTAGGCAATCACTTGAAAAAGAGGTGCCATTACGGTGACGTTTTTTCTTTAAAAGTAAATTACGAAAGTAAAATTTACTTATTATTTTATGTTTCAATTCAGACCTAATTTAGATGAAAAGGATTAGATTATCAATATTTATATCTGGATTATCTCTCTTTTACATCGTTGTAATTTGTATTATTCCGCACCTATTACTAATGTCCAGCTAAGCGACGCCAGCTGCTAAAGGGGAAGTCCATATAAACCAGAATGTATTTATATGTCGTATATGTTTATTATCGAAGTAAGTTTTCCAGAAAGTGGTGAGAGCATTTTATACATTTCTAATGGCCCAGCCAACACGTACTATGTGAGAGCGCAGAAGCCTATATGTTTCTGAATTTAAACCGCGCAGCGGTATGAACAACGAGATTCACCAAGTTAAGAAAATGTCCAGTGAGAAATACATGTGTGTTGGCCTTTACGTATACTGCATAACCTCGTGTGCCCAACAACACAGCGACCTTGCATATTTGTAAAAATGAATGAACATTAGGGCCCACTTTGCTAAGCAACGCTGTGGTTACAGTGTTATTAGGGAGCTAGGGAGCTGGTCAATCACGTTTCGGTATAAGATCAACGAGACTGCCTCAAATCCGACCTGTGTACTTTTTTTCCAGAGTAAAATTAGCGTCATCTCAGATGATGAAAAGTCAATAGCATTTTCAAACAAATCCAATACTTAATTAAGTAATAAGCTCGATATCGTGAAATGCGAGAAAGCAAATGGATGTATGTGCATGTGTAAAATAGGCCTTAAATTATTTAATAAACTACCAGACGCTGCTCAAACAAAATGGAAAATTGTAGGTAGGTACATACCTACTTATAATCTTTTGATTAAATTTTGAACGTTATTACATGCTATATTCATAAGTGTATAATTGATAAAATATACTTATCGTACCTATACTGTTGTTAGTAAATATACAATATACCTTCAATTTATGTTTGTATACTTAATGGTTGAAAATCTAAGTTACGAGGTATGACCCTTCCAGTTTCGCTGTTGTCGCTGTGTGTAATATTCCAAGTCGTTTTTACTACATTCGCGCTGCTTTTAATTATTTATAAACATTGCTTTGGCTGCAACACAAACACGTTTAGACATTTTCGAATATTTCCTAACAAAATCATTAAAACTGTTACTAGTGTTATAAGTCCTTTCATCGTAAAGATCATATAGTCTTTGTCTACTTTTGTGAATTCCCACAGTCGCCCAATCACTAAATTTCAATGAATTATTAATAGTTATGATTTTGGTCTTAAAAACATTATAACGTTCACTTTTCACTATGTTGAAAACTGAGTGATACAATTTATTGGGATCGTTAACATATGGAATGTCAGTTAGTTTAAGCGTTACGTTACTTCTATAAGCTTTAAGTCGACTATTATTTATCGGAACATATGTGATATCCTTTTTTGGCATTTTGTCAACAGTTATATTAAAAGTGGCCAATTGACCGCAGTGATCAGAAGTTAATTTATTTATAAATATAATAGATTTATTACTAGGTACGGCGTTAGTATAGTGTTGTCTAAACAAGTGGCTGTAGTAGAAGTTACTCTTTTAGGCACCAAGAAAAGATTCACAAGATTATAACATTGGAAAAATGATATGAGCCTACTGCTAGCACTGGAATCTTCTAATAAGTTAACATTGAAGTCACCACAAACAGCAACATATTTATTTGGATTATTTAATTTGCCTAAAACTTCGTCTAATCTTTTTTCAAATAGTTCGTAAGATGAATGAGGGGGTCTGTACACGCTTAACATAACAAGCCGTTCAAGCTCTATGCAGGATATCTCTATAGTCCGCTCAATAGATAGGCTCACAATATCTGTACGTTCTTTAAATTATTTTTAATAAGAACTAAAGAGCCGCCATGAATAGCTTTTTCTCTGCTGAACGAACTAGCCACCTGGTGATTGTTGAAGCTAAACATGAACTGGTGCTCAGTAATACAAAGAATATCATGTTATTACAGTTAATAAATAATTCTATTTCTAACTCTTTGCCTTCTCTACATGTTATCTATATGTTATTGTCTAACTGCAGTTACCTCGAAGAAGAGACGATTCCCTTACAGGCATAGTTAGTCAAACACAAAAAAGCGATAGAAATGCTCTTTGGACAACTCGTCACGCTATAGCCGCTGTTTGAACTCATTGTCTACCTAAATACTGTTTGTTTCACATCTTCTATGTCCGGGTTGGTGTCTACTGCGTGTGGAAAGCAACGTTGGCCGGAACTGCTGCTACGTGACTGTTATGTCAATGTGCGCGGGCGCACCGACCGGCCGGACGCACCGCGACAAGCATCGTAATCAGGCGCTGGCTAAAACTGGGGCTCAGCTGCTCAACGAGGAACTCCATTATTAGTTTCTACTCTTGAAGAAACGCGACGATTTGCAGAACAAGTGAAAATTATTGAGTTTGATCTACAAACTACAGCCGACAAGATTTAAATACTATGCACTTGCACATTTAAAACATTATCCTAGCGTACTTACAGCAACTTATGATTTGAAACGAGTCGCGTGCGCAGGACAGCTACTATCAAGTTTCACTATCCCCACATTTCTTCTGTTTCTGTTTTATTTCGCATGTTTACGTGGAATATTCATACCGAAAGTAATTTTATGTAATTCCACCCTTAACTTCTGTACACCCTGTACCTATTACATATTATCTTTGAACCATATTTTAAATAAATTTACTGAACGGAACACTTTTATTGTGCCCGTTATCACCGTGATAACAAGAGTCCGTTAGCAACGAACTAATAGCGGAGGACGTGTTTAATGAAATTCCCAAGTACTATTCAAAAGAGCATTCAAATCCGCTGATTTGATATACATACATAAACTGCACCTAATTCATATACAAAAATCTTGGGTAGTTGGAGATGACAAATGCGAAACGAAATTAATACATACGTGAATGTGATATACATACATATATGGGCTCATTCGACGAACAAAGTCCGATGTGATTATACAGCGAAAAGAGGTTAAAACATAATCTCGTTATTCAAAAGGCCTATCTAAAGGTGTTTTCAGATTTTTATGCATTTATTATTTATTTCGTTTCGGAAATATAAAATCGAACAACAGTCGATCTTGACTGCGGATATCCGCAGTCAAGAACAACGAACGAAATGTACAATGTCTCGAGAAAAATCAGCATCTTGCACATATGTTAGCGCCAGTAATGCTACTTATGCGACTTCTGGACAGGTCATATGTAAAGTCTAAGTAGATGTAGGTACTTTAATTGAGTTAAAAAAGCGATTGGTATCAAGATAATAGCAATTGGAGTCGCATTCCTCTGCAACTATCGCGCGATTATAGCCTCTGCCCCCCCCCCACCCCCCCCTCCCCACCACAATGCTGCCCGCTCCGCGCATATTATCAAGCGCATTAAAATAGCACAATAATCATGCGATAGAACACATAGAAGTTCTGCTTACGTCTCTACTTGATAACCAAGTCAAGCCGCACTGGAAAATACAATTAATCATTCAGCCTGCGATTATTCCACATATTTCAGTGAAACGAAATAACGTCATTAGATGGCGCTGTAAGTCTTTTATATTAACCGGCAGACAGATAAGCTCGCACATGTTTGGTCTTCCTAATCATTTTCATTGTCAATTCATTGAATTCTGATTCATAACGTATAAGTCATATATTACTTGAAACAGGTTGTATCAAAAACATAAATATGAATTTTTGGGTTCCTTATTTGAAAAATAATTGATTCTTTGTCTTTGTCATTTTCCTTTAAGGTTTATTTTTGTGACAAAAAGTAGCCTATGTTATTCTCCTAGGTCCCATTTTTTTCTATACGAAAATTAATTAAATTTGGTGCAGCGGTTTAGGCTTGAAAACGTATGTAGGTATCAGTTATTTTCGGTTTTATAATATTAGTTTGGATTCTAAAATGAAAACAACAAAAAAAAAAAACTATTCGAATAACTTCATGATGTTGTGTGGATCTATTATCGTTGCCCACAAACAAAGGAAAACACAAAAGAAAATATTGTATTCCAATGCCAAATTTTATATGTATTTATATGTTATATATAGATAATGAAGTTGGGTCTACAGTTCATTTTATTTATCTATAATTTGTTTAGTTGCTTTTTAAATAGCATAAAGTTTTCTGAGCCCTTAACTACTTAAGGTGATTTTGTTGTAAATTTTTATCGCCGTTGCAAAAAATAAATATTTATGAAAGTAGTTTTACAAGCTTTAAAACGAAGTTGGTCATAACGTCTTGGTTTAAGAACGCGTGTGAACAAGTTTGGTGCATTCGGACGTATAAGTAAGTAACATAAGTATAAGTATAATAATAATATAATAATAATAAAAATATAATAATATATAAAAATATAATAAATATAATAAGTATAAATAACGTAAATTTG